ATAATCTCTATTAAAGCGCAAAACGCTTTGTGTTTTGTGTTGACTATTAGAGAGACTATTCATAGAGACTATGAATGCATTGCTTTGAATGCATTGAATCAATGATTGAGTGCTCTATCGCTGTATCGCTGTATCCATAGTAAGGAGATGTCAGTAGTGTTTCACTAGTGTTGAAAGTTTTGCCACTTTTTGCTCAAACTTTAGACCCATTCACTTAATATGTGTCGTAAATTTTGATTGAATTAATTCATATTTTTGTAGTTAAATATAATTTCTATTCAAAGCACACTTTACTAGTGGTGTGAATATAATACAAGTAATTGGCATTTAATTTTGAACATTTGGTTTTAAGTAAAATAGTTGACAACTAGTGAAATATTTCCCAGAATTGGTCTCTATATTCAAATTAACATAGATTTGAAAATATTGTGAGAAATGAAGCTTTTTTGTTTAATATTTAAAATTTCATATTGTAAATAGTATCTAGTTGTTAATTTACCAAATTTTCACAACATTTCGCTCATTGAAATGTTTACCTAAACATTTGACTGAAATTTTCGTCCCTACTCAACACTCACTTTATAACTGCTATAAAGTTGGGACATAACTGTACAGTACAGGCAAGTAATGAACTTTTGACCCTATTGACCATGTTGTGTTGACCATGGCCACTTTGCATTATACAGTCACCTTTCTGAGAAACAATTCATTTGAGTGCAAAACAACAAGTTTTCAATTTATTGTTCAATTCGTTGTTTTTATAATAAATATTTATGCAAATAATTCTTTAATGAAAAATAAAGTACAAAAAGGATTGCTTTCAATAAATTGATTTACAAAATATTTAACTTATAAATTATATGCACATTAAAAGTACAGTACAATTATAGACACCTTTAGCTAATACTACAGTATTATCGGTTTTAATATTAAGTTTTGTAACTTTGATATTTAATTTCAGCAAAGAGTGCATGACTTCACTAATAATAATATCAATTAATACTATAATTTGTAAACCATTTACTTTTACACATGATTTAAATACTGTATGTTTCGTAAAATGCATTCCTTTCTATTATTTCTATAAAAGTATATTTCCATAAAATTAAGCCAAACTACTGGCCACCGGTTCATCGACTGTGTTATTAGTTCGGGTCTTCTCTTTGCTGTCGTAGTGGACAATCACTGCATCTCCGGCCACATTCACCAGGCATTGGGCCTATAATTCAATACACAATTAGTGTTAACAGTATAACAGCACATAATTATTCAATTATTACTTGATTTTTATGCGGATTATAAAGCAATAATAGTTGTGTGATGTGAAACGATGTCATAGCATTGCCGCCCAGTGAAGACACGTGCGACCGAACCATTGCAAACACTTCCGTTAAAAAGCTATGTATAAAACCACTTAAACCTCCAAACTATTCAATTCAACAAAGAGTTAATGAAACGATGTCATAGCATTGCCGCCCAGTGAAGACACGTGCGACCGAACCATTGCAAACACTTCCGTTAAAAAGCTATGTATAAAACCACTTAAACCTCCAAACTATTCAATTCAACAAAGAGTTAGACTATTGTTAGGCAACTAATAGCGAGAAATGATTACTTCTCTAATACTAGTGCTCTCCCTAATGAAGAAAAAGTCCAAATTTCCATTTATTGTTAGCTAAACTGGCGAGCCGTGCATACTGTTACCTCAATTGAGATACGGTTTCACAAGTAACCAACGTCAGATATTAATATGTTGTTAATATTGAAGTTAGTAACTTATTGATTAACAACATAGAATTAGTCAAAAATTACATGATATGGCGCTCCCGTCGATGATATGTTTTGTACGTTTTGTTCAATAGTTTTTTGTTCGCCGATCGCATCGATAGTGAACATGAGTTCTGTATCACCACTCTCTGCACACATACCATATTAATTGAGTGATTATAACAGTGAAAACATAGTTACTGTTATACAATGAAATACCGGTATGTTTTCTAATGGTTTTAGCGATTGGTTTGATGGGCGGACCGATACCGATAGCAGTGCCCACAACAGTGATTTGTACTAAGTCTGCTTCGGGTAAGTCTACCCTGAATTTCAAGTCAGTTAAACAGCAGGGAATCAATCGACGAAATTTCACAAATAGACTCTATTGTAACGAATCAAATGCTTATCAGTTATAAGTTATAACAATAATATTAACAGCAATTGTCTCTCGAAAGACCACAAACCTGTATAACCCAATCAAATTGATGTCCAAATTGTTTGATTGATGTGAGTTTAGCCCTATAGACCTGCGAAAACATCTGCAAATTGCATACCATTTGACTCTGCATTCCCGG